GACTTGAAATCTGTATTCAAGTGTGTTATATATTGTTATGTAATGGCATGTAATAAAATTGAATGATTTAGCATCAAAATTGGTTTTCGTAGCAGCAAAAACTATTTGTGTCGAGGTTTGTCACATACTGGTGACACTTCACGTGATCTATGAAATCAAGAATTCAAAACCGGACCCACTAAACTCCTTAAAATTATTCAAGGTTACATTTTCAAAACATCGAACAAAAGATTGTTGACCTGTAATGGTATACGTGTAACTTAGACCCTTCCGAGATCCCTTCCTGTAAACCCGCATACCCTATCTCCTCACGTTACGGTTATTGCCGAGTCGGGCCGAGTGATGTCTGCTGTTTACACACTCGTGATTACGTCATGGGTCATCCAAAGTTCACTTCTGCATGTTTACCTGTAAATTGTGAGGAAAAGCGCGGGAAATCTGGCATAAAGGTAAACAAACTTTTACAACCTACGTGCAGACTTCCACGATGTCTTCGTCGGTTGTTTAATTTTACAACAGTTTCCGGTTTGTCGGAATATCATTACTACTGGTTTTGCGATCGATAGGCGCTTTTATCCATTTTTCTCCAAACATGCGAATTACTCTACGTGCTTTTAGTAATTGGTATTTTAACCAAAGACCATAAAATAGAAAATAAAATGGTCTCTGTTTTAACCTTGACATTATTCCACAGTAATTGTTATTTGCCGACAGTACATTATGCATTCATTATTGCATTATTCCGAGATATTTTCTTTTCTGGGAAAACATTACTTAATATTATACCATGTTAGGGCCAATGAAGGATCGTGAAAAAGCGGACAATTTATAATAAAATAAAAGAGCTCTTGCATTTTGTTTTTTTCAGGGAAGGTCATGAATACAATTTACAATGGCATGGGGAGGGTCATCCTAAATATGACAAGCTTTAGGGGAGGGGCATTTTTTCTCTGTAAATTAGTTCATCAATAACCTCTGACCCAACCACCCTGTAATAAATAATGGTTGGATCCTGACAAAGCTGATAAAATGTGTGTGCACCTCTTGCGATGTATCGATAATTTTGTCTGGATAAAAGTGGGTTTGTGCATGTGTGTTTTTTTGGTATTGTTGTTCGTGTGTTTCTTTGTTGTGAAATTGTAAAAATGTTTAATTACAGTAAATATTTATCATATTATTATATGATTTGATTCTTTTTCTTTGATCTATCTACTTTGTACAGTATTGAATGTTATGTTCACTTTGCTGAATGGAAAAATCCTGTCACTCTATGGCTAAATATATTGACGCTGCGAACTGATTGACTGAATGGTTGACTGATTCAAAGGACGAGTTCTACTGGATGATTATATATATCTATATCTATATCTATATCTATATATATATTTATTATGATAATGATACTGCAATTGCCGTACCTTTATCATGATTTTTTTTTTTTTGCACAACTCCTTAATTTGCCTGAAATGCTGTATATCCGCGAATCCTTTTTTTACTTGAAATTGGGTCGTCGTATAAAACACACCATCGGTCATTAGTCCGGCGACATGGCAGCCGAATAAAGAGGCAGACACTTGACATTTGTACAGTCAAATGTTTTAGATTCATTTCTCAGTTGTATATCCCCGGGGTCAACACTAAGTATATAATCCATGCATTGAGCTCAGGGGGCCAGGCGGATGTTACCAATTGTCTTTCAGTGAAAGGTGTCACGCGAAGCGCTCATCCCAACCACGGCGTCAAACTTTATGTGGGCTGCTAGAAAGGTCAGACTTGGTCGCATACGGGGATACATTTCTGCCTTATGGAACCACAGGTTGTCACGGTATATTAGTGACGTCCACTCCACCCGAAGAACTCGATGGGAAATACATGTAAACAAACAACAATGATACACAGTACCCACCATATTTGAAAAACACGTATTTCTTGTACTTATTTAAATCTTCAAATGTTCAATATTATAAAAAAAAATCAATTTTTATTCAGTAGCTTTACTCATTTTGATCTTCAAACGGAAAACAAATAATCAATATTATTCGTGTTAACAGTTTCTACTCGCTAGCTTTACTTATTTGATGTTGTAACCGAAAAATAAATTAAATCTTATTCTTTTAACAATTATTACTTAATCTGTTTGCCTACTTGTATCTTCAAACTGCCTACTTTGATCTTCAAACGGACAAATATGAATTCAATAATATTCCTTTAACACATTTCAAAAACTGGAAATGTGCGTGATGTAAATAGAATAGTATCTCATTACATTAACAAGAAAAGTAACAGAGGTTACATGAACAGGCTAAAGCTATATAAATGCCGCTCTTCTGCAATACATAAGCCTGAATATCCATGTTCTTGCTTGAAAATTATGGTTCGAGGTTCCTTGATATTTATGAATGTTTAATGACAACGACGTAATTCAGTATTTATCAACTCAAATTTATTAACATGGTAGATTAATCCCCTTCTTCGTTCAGCCCTCGGCCCACTCTTCCCCACGGTAACGTGATAATGGTCGGGGCTCGTCAGTTCGTGTTTTGGTTGTTACACAGGTGATCAGCAAACACCTGTATCGTTACCTGTCCAGCAGGTAAGACGCTATCCCCTCAGGTGCGTGCATGTTGATCAATAAAATTCTGAAGCAGGTGTGAAATGAGTTGTGTCTGTCCTTACGTCGGACCGTATGTGACGCTTGGAGGCACGCGCGTTGTAAAAAATCGGCCTTTGACAAATTCGTAATTAAAGCTGCTTGTACCTGATATTTTATTTTAAAATAGTTGTGACAAATAGTTGAAAATGCCTTGTTAGTTTCATATTTGTATATCACTTCAACTATATAAAAATACAAATACTGACAAAATTAAGCAACAATTGCGAAGTAATTTCCACAGTCTACAAGCTCAATCTCTCATACGTTAGTGTATATACAACATAACGAATTCGGGAATCAGTAAAGTCCAACAAAACATGTCTGACATTTACCGAAAATAACCGCTTTTACGTGTACATTCGTTTACTCAATTTTACATAGACTGTCATGGGATGGGCCCTGTTGGTATCATAACTCCGCCTGCACAAATATCAACACATAATAGGCAACAGCTGAACAAAACGGACATCCGCGTTGTATGAGGCTGATGGCATTGTCGACATATGTCCGTATTTAAATTATATTAGAACGCACGAAGATACGTTTCGATTACTGCCGTGGATATGCAGACAGAAGCCTTCTTTACAACGAATTTAAGTTACGTTAGAAGAGTATAGCTAAAGAAATGTATAATCCCAGCATGATATGGATATGTAATTTGTGCGAATAGCTACCGCAAATCCCCCATTAAAAGTTTAATCGTTTATTTTTCCCGTGGACCTCCCGTGTATGGGTTTTATATTAAAATATTTACCTACCGTGCTGCGTTAGAACAGTAGCTAAAGAAATGCATGCTCGACGTGATATAGATTTATAGTTTTTGCATATAGCTACCGTAAACCCTCCATTAAATGTTTGGGTATTGAATTCTTTCACGAACCATCTGTGCATTGGTATATTATTAATATATTATTTACCTATATCGTGCTTTTGGAGACTGTATACATCGGTAATGTATCTCATTGTGTTCTCAAAAATTGGTGTTACACGATGGTATAGGCGGTAAATCGAGGAGCCATCGTAAAGGGATGCGCCACTGTTATTATGTGGGGTCAGTGAAGGCTTCGGAACAACCAAACTTCGAGATAGGGGGACTGAAGGGCCTACATACTGTCGTTGTGTATTTCAAATATACAATATAAACTAAGGAGTAAAAGAAACCATACCTCTCAATTGATTTTATCATATGTTTGATTTGCAATTAAAAATATTGTAAGTTATCGGTTTTGTATCAAACAAAATGAACTGTACTGGCGTTTAGTCAGCATCTAAAGAATACTTCTACGTGATTTTATTTTTAGATTTGATTTAAAACATTGAAAATTTGAAAAAAACGCATAATATACAACTGCTGATGGGTATGTTAGTCATCTTATTTTTGAAAAAAACAATAAAGTTACTTTTTGTGCACACATTTACAACATTTCTGTCATGGTAGGGATCATGTGGTTTGAAATTAATTTTTTACCCCATTCAAACCAATTATGTTTACAAAAAATACCCAGCAAAATATTATTTTTTACAAACCTTTGCAAGAATGTGTAATGGTTAAATAAACATAATCAAATTGAACAACAGTTCTTTCACTTTTAAATTACATGAAAAAACAAACACGGTGTACTTTCTTTTGACCTCCGTTTTAAATCTCAATTTTAAGATAGTTGGTACAATATTCCCACGTGTTCATACTTGAATTTTTTAAGATAAGGATCATGTACAGTTGATGCTCATGGGTATAAAGAACATAACTTTTCAGTTTGTGTGTCAAGGTTTTATAATACATTGTACAATATGATGCTTTTCCGTGAATAACAGTGATATTAATGCACATTTCCCTTGTTCAAATTTTTTTATTTCGGGACGCAAGATAATAACAAGTTTAAATTCTGAGACTACGTAATGATATGTCTCTGTTTAATTTATCGCCTTTGTGTAATCAGAACATTGCCAATCCGACAACGATCGATCAACAGCAGACACTGTGACAAAAGTTGGCTGGGGATAAAACTGCATAATTTGATAAAGTTTTAAAAAATATTCATATTTGAACTATTTGATATTATTTACTTAACCATGACAGTAATCTTGAAGAGGAATCAAGACAGTTTCAAAACTAACCCGTCCCTGACAAAACGATATTAATAATCATATCAGCTATTTTATTGTAGAATTTGGTTATTTAATTGGTTTATGCTAACATTTTTAATTTCACATTTCTGCCTTAGCCTTTGTTAGAGGGATTTTCAATACTTATCTTTTCACGAGCGATCAGTATGACTGACATGATTATATGAACAGAGAAACGTGCTGCTTAGCGCGAGAGGGAAATCCACAGGGCTGGTCACGTGATCGCTCAGTCTGGCCTCGGTAAGGATCGATTTGCATTGGGAGCGAGAGAGAGCTGGGTCGAGTTTTGTTCAGGAATAGATCGCCTTCTTGTGACATTGCAGAACTGCAAAGGTAAATACTATACCCCCTGTTCGTCCTGTGTACAAACTACCTGTATATTGCCTTCAGAATACGTGTTGTTCCGAGAAATTTTTCTAACTATCATCGGCCACTGTTTACCTCTATTTCAATATGGTTGTCTTGACCTCGGGTGAATATGCGTCAAGATTGCACTGTTTGACAGCTTATTACGTTAAAGTGATGCGTATTTCACACGTTTATTCCCTAACTACACGTGCACAAGTTATCAAGGATTTGCTCGGTGACGTCCGTTTCAGTTAAATGTACCGTTATTTGCACGATTTTCAGTGAAATGTACAACTCCCCCACGCGATCGCGAGAGGTATTTCATGCGGAGTGCTATTTATAGCATCTCTCCCTCAGACAATGAATTGAATACATGTCTCGATCTAGGATCGTTCACGTTCTGGTTGTTGTCCTTGTCTAAGCCAATGTTTACTTTTTCTTGCCAAAAACGTCTTCCTTTGAGAAAGCTTATCTTATGTTGAAAGCTTGACATCCACATGGAACTTGAAACAACTTTAAGCAATACACATCTGATAAATTCAACATTACTCCAGCAGGCATGAAAACCCCGCGAAATAGCTGGTGGGTTATCCCGTATAACATCCTTTTGGTGAGTTACAATGTTGCAAAAACTATCCTTTTTTCTGTTATTGGACAATATATGTGATGCATTCTTACAGACACAGAGTTACAACATAGCAAACATTGTTTTACAATGGATCTTTCATCAGCTGGTTGAATGAATATTAATTTATTATAATTTTTAGGTTCATCACTCTTTACTTGAATATATTGCAAGAAGTAGGACCATGATTGCTGTCTTACATTAAGAATACACTATTAAATTGAGAGAGTTTTTAATTTAGGATAATACAAAGATGTATAAATGAATTGATTCAAAATTAATTTTGTCATTAAAAAATGATGTAACTGTTTTGTTAATTACCAATATCTTTGTTTATTACTGGTTTTCATCAGGGAAGCTCATAAGTCCCGCATAGAAGTGTGCATCACATCACACACTCCAATCAATGATTCAATCGGATTGGTCATTATTATTGAATCAGTGCTACTGGGTAGGAGAATTGCTATAGCAACAATAAATTAGTTGAAATGGATTAGGTGACCCCTGACACGAAGGCTGATGGGCCTGACACTTGGTAATAATGACCCTAATTGCTAAATAAGTATGATTGTTGCACACCTTTGTATTATCACAGACAGGAAGCTTTAGAAGACGTACTTGAACATTGGACACACCTCTTGAAGATAGTGGGAGAAGCATTTTTGTATTATGTCAGTTTTAAACTTATATGGTTAATATTATCTTAAATTAAAGTTTAAATCAGAACATCCTAAACATGATAAAAAGATTTTGCAGGAATATGTTTATGTTCTTTAAATTCATGAAAACAAATACATTATTTAATCAAATATTAAAAGCTCTTGCGTCATGAAATTATGACAGTGCAATTACTGAAAGTATTATTTAACATAAAAAAAGAAGTTCTTTCCTGTAACTGATTTCTGTATTCCAGCATGTTGGAATATTTATATAACATGTTTTTAATTATTATATATTGTTGTCATAATATATCTAAATGACATCTATACGATGTATTAAATTAATTATTGCACTGCCATGTGAATAGCAATGGAAGTGAATCTCTATGAATAGTGATTAGCTTATGGTTGAAGCTGTAAATAGGCGAATCGATTTGACGTAAATATTCTCTTTGACACAGCTGTCAGTATAGGTATACAAATTGATTACAGTCATATTGATCTTGTGATATGTACATACTGTATGCTGCCTGTATTGCTATTATATTATCGCTGCAGAACATAATCCATGCAGTTTAGGGAAGATATTTCACCACGCTGACGGTCTCACGGTTTAACTTGAAGAGGCTCAGCACTTGACATATTTAGTGTGTAGGGGAAAACCAGGATCTATTTTTAACTTGTCTCGCGATATGCTTGTGCTACTACGCAAGTGCGATGAAATGAAGAGTCGGTTAGTGATGAACGTTTGTCGTGTATTTATCAATTAGTGACAACCTGTAATACCACGCCAGTGACGATCGTTGTTCATGCAAAGGCTACCCCACCATTGATCACGAAGTTTTGTTGGCAGGCAGAAAATATCGTCAACAAAGCTCTTTTTTAATTGTGTAGTAATTTTATGTAAGTTTTTTTAGTAGAGCATGAAGTTTTATGAATAATAGTCGAGATATCATAAAATAATTTTAAACAAGAACATTTTATTATTATTTTATTGTCATGCTGCCCTAAATTACGCTTAATGCCATATATACGTATGCTGTAACAGGTTAGTCATTGACAGCTATTTTTGCAATGTCATTGTACAGGAAAAATAGAGGCATTAATACAAGCCCTTAAACATGCAAAAGTCAAGCATTATTTTTAAGGCGAAGGAATCTTTTCACTTGCCTAAGGTTTTGAAATTGGTTTTTACATTTTCAACATTGGTATTATTATGCATTCTGATAACTCAAGTTTTTTTAAAAATGACTTGAATAATTATAGTCTTACAGATAAATTTGACTTGTTCGAACAAGGATTTGACACTGTATTAGTTATAGTTTTCCCATAGATTATATCGTCCACTTGGGCAGCCAAAGATGTACAATAAATTTCTTTGATGAATTCATCTTCAAACCAGTGTATGAATCTGCAAATTATTATTTCTATTCAATCTTACATGTGTATATTGATCATAGAACTGTAAAAAGGGTATATCCGATCATAAATAATACATTAAATTGCAGTGCTTTATCGTCACTGCGACATGATTCATATCTTTCAACAATGGAGTTGGTCACCAAGGAAATAAATCCACACTACCAGGAAACTACACTTGCCCCGAGCGGAATGTTCCAGCGGGTTCTCAGAGTGAAGTCATGCATTTTGTTCACATTGATTCAACAGTTGACTTTATATTAAAAAATCATACATGACTTGCGGATAGTTGCAGCTAAGTTGGTTTTTATCAAAGTACTCCATAGCTATATTTGAACTTGTTTGTTTTTTATTGCTTAGTGCTGCACTAGCAATGTTCCAGCAATTTGACATTGATCTGTAAATAATTGAGTCTGAAATAGACAAATCGGTGATTGACATAATGAGCATCAATCTTTTTGTACTAGTGGATGTATCATAACTTGTGTTTGAAGGAAAACAAATAGTCCTTGCAGATATTTAATAGTACTAGCCTTGTACAAGCAGATTAGTTGCTGTGTCAATATATACTGATTTACTTTAGAGCCTCGACATAATATGCTTCATCCATTCCCGAAGTTTAAAAAAATTAACTTTTCTTTTCCCTGTCAGTATAATTTCCCGCGCCACAACATAACACTATTAATAAAAAACAGAACATGAATAGGTAACTCTATATCTGCTGGTAGTTTTTTTAAATAGGTCACCCCAATCTGGTCAAGTAGAAAAATCTCCAGTATAATTGAGTTTGATAACATATCCGTTAACATCTACATTGTTACATAGCAACAACCTTACCGATGTATGACACTTAATTTGGAAAAACCCAGCGGGACTATTTTTAGCCCGAGCGTGGACCTTCGCTTTACCAGCAGGCTGTGACCTTGTTTTGTCTAGTTCACATGCAAGTGCAACTTTTTAACCATCCCCGACACTCAAAAGAGAAAATGTGTTACTAGCTTATAAAGACGACTCTTTTATCATTGTAGTCACTGTTTTGCGCTACCTATTGATTAGATTAGAAACTGAAGGTCGATATTGCATTGCGGTATTTGATATGCAAATGAGGGCGAGTAGGTACTCCGTTCCAATTTTGTCCGTGCTGGTTTTAACAATGATAAGATGTGTAAAATTAGGTCTGTCCGCATTAGCAGGTTTGATTTATATTTTAATTCACATTTTTATATTGGTCACATTCACAGTACATACATTATCACTGTTGAACCTGCAACACATTTCCTTATGTGACAGATATTAATGTTAGACTCAATACCAAAGATTTCAAGAGTGAATATTAAATATTATAAAACACTGCATAAGTAAATATGAAATTATGCAAAGGTTGTGAGGGTGGCCTTGAACAATCATGATAATTTAGACTTTAGTATTTACATATAAACAAATATTGTTTTCACATTCGTTTACAGCTGCATGCAATTTTAGTTGTTTAGTACATTTTGGAATTAGAACGAAAATCGATTAAAAGTATAAAATCACAACATTCTGCTATTCGTAATGAGGTAATTGTAAATGGATGTACAGTATATCAAAATTGAAGTTTAATTACACAATTAGAGGAACCGATGTATTCCTATGTTTTGTGCTTTTGTATGTAGAACATGTGATGCTACGGAGGTTGTCAGCACGTCAGTCAACGGAGAGCTTATCCTTGTGATCATACTGTTGTGCACAAATTATGTCACAAGATTGAGTGCAGCGTGAGTTGACACATCCTCTCTGAGAGAGGTTATTCACAAGGGTTCAGCATCACCAGATGAGTCATCATGGACATCAACGAGAGAGAATCAATTGAGTTGTACTGGTCCTGTTAGCCATGGGAATGCAGGGGTAGAGGCACTCTGTCTACGGTTTATCAAGCCAGGTTAATTTGTGTGATGTATGCAAAGAGAAACTTCATTTTGAAAGGTGCCAAAAAAATATTTATTCACAATTCTGACAATCTGTTTGTCATCATGGTGGTATAGAGCAAGTATGTGGAATTATGTTCGTACAGTTTCAATTTTGGTTACAAATGTAATTTAGTTTTGGTGTTGAAACAACCTTTTTTAGGTAATGAAAAAGACAAATCTTAGACTTATATAAATGCGATAAATGAATTTAGAAAGGACAATGATTTCTTTGTGAAAAAAAAAATAAATTTCCTAACGACCAACTTTTCATTAAACGTCACATACATTTGACCAAACGTTTAAGCCTAAATAGTTAAAGAGTATGTACAGAGG